ATTATGAAGGTGCAGTTAATGTAAAGCGTTTATTTGAAGATTTTTTATTATTTTGATTTGGGATTTTTTTATAAACCGTATTTTATTCAATTTCAGTTGCACTGTTAAGAAGAGGACGTTTTGCACAATTTAGAAAAATAAATAAAGGAATATTTTTGAAAAAATTTGTCTGCAGCTCATTCTGTGAGAAAAAATCGTAAGAAAATTGTATCGTGAACTCGGAATAGTGAATCCTATGGAATAGTATAAGTTGAGTGTATCGTTACATCCCTAACACTGACATCTTTTTACCTTGTTTATCCATGATATCACCATTTTTAAAAGATGATGTGGCCGCATGGGCTGTTGCTTTCTCTCTTCCATGTTGATGAAACAGTAGTATGTGGCATGCTCGGCTAACTCCTTCAACCTAGGTATACATTTGTTGGCTATAGGGTATTCTTAGAAAACTGCCATATGATCAGATGGAATTACGTTTGTTTCAGTGATGTGATAGGCTGATGTGTGATTTAAAGCTTATTCTAATTGTGTGATATCAGACTGTTCCTTATTGACAGTTTCTCATTTTCTTTTTGTTAAAATTTTATATGACTGAGTCCATATAATTTTTACCTTAAAAAGGAAATGCTGCCTTGGAAAGGGTGCAATGTAGGGCTACAAGAATGATTCCTGGTCTTAGAGGAATGTCGTATGAGGAGAGGTCAGCTGAGATTAATCTGTTCAGCCTAGAGCAAAGGAGACTAAGGGGGGGGACATGATCCAGGTATATAAAATATGTCTGGATGCTGTTCAGCCAAATGGCTACTTCAGTATTAGTTTAAATACTAGAACTCGTGGCCATAGGTTGAAATTAGCGGGAGAACATTTTAAAATGGATTTGAGAAAGCACTTCTTTACACAGCGTGTAGTTAGAATATGGAATAGTCTCCGTGTTAGTATAGTGCAAACTAAAACCCTGGGTTCCTTTTAATCAGAGCTAGATAAGATTTTAACAACTCTGCGCTATTAGTTAAGTTCTCCTCAAACGAGCTTGATGGGCCGATTGGCCTCCTCTCCTTTGTAAATTTCTTATGTTCTTATAATGTTTATATTCCCCAGCCCTACTCCTGCCTTATTATGCCTAAGAAAGAATGTGGCAACATTTATGAGAAGGCATAGCCTGTCCAGTAGGTGTTGCTAAGGTGCCAAAGAGCTAGCATGTAAGGGCACTTTTCCATCGCACAAAGTACGGTACTTTCGGTACTTTCGCTTTTCCATTGACTTCCGGTCAAGTACCAGTACCAAAAGTGCCAAACCAGCTGGGGTACTTTTTTGATTCTTTGGTACTTTGGGGTGGAACTTGCAAACGTATTTGCTGTCAATTGGTTATGCAAATAGCCTGCCGCTGAAGCACAAAATATAACCACCATCTTTTGAAACACACAGCGAACAGCAAGAAACGAAATAAAAATCAGTAGAAACTAAAATATAAAAAAAGTAAATTGGAAGGATGGACAAACGAGGAATCACAGGCTTTAATCGCCATATGGTTGGATGAACAGATCCAGCAGAATTTGGATGGCAGGACTCGAAATGAAAAAGTATTTGCCGTAATAGCAAGCCGCTTGAAAGAAATGGGGCACACGCGAAACACTGAACAATGCCACTTGAAGATCAAAAAACTTAAGCAGGACTACAGGAAAGTGAAGGATCATAATAACATGTATGAATTCAGCGAAAGAAATACCGCGCCGCACTTTCTGATGATGTCAGTCAGGGGCGATCACTGATGTCATTTGGCGCCGGTACCAGTTTTTACGCCAGTGGAAAACCGACACAAAAGAAGTGCCATACTTTTGGTACTTTATGGAAGTACCGAAAAGCGCCCAAATGATTTCCTTAGTGTTTCATGACTTTTTCATGATTCTCCCAACCCCCTGGAATTATGTTGTGTTCTACAAAGGGGATTTACCCCTCAGGTTAAGAACCCCTGATATACAGTATAATGGGATCCCCATATCCGCGGTTTCAATATCCTGTACAAAAAAAGTGGAAAATTCCAGAAATAAATGGTTCATAAGTTTCACACCGCATGCCAAGTGAGTACAGGCTGTAACATGGTGATCCACCAGCCCAGTTACACCTAGTAAATGACTCATCTCCCTTTGTCCCCATACCCACAATTCTCAGCAGAATTCTCATCCAGTCTACCTCTAGGGTTTTCACATTCGTTGCTGCGTTATTACAGTGTTTGTTATAAAAATGTATAAAAAGTAAACTTGTTATTGCTCCATCCTCCCTTGATACATGCTATTTTTTCATTTTTCTGTTGTCTCTTGGGAATTGGGCTAAAACTGAAATCAGAATCCTGTACAGTGTTTAATAATAATGAACAATGTACTTTATTACACTTGCTAATATTGGTAATGTCTTACTATGTGTAATTTATAAATAAAACATTACGATGTGTATGAACACAAAAATCACAACTATATATGGGTTCCAAGGACTGTGCACTATCTGTGTTTTCAGCTATCCACTGTATGATACCATACAAGGGGGGGACTACTGTATTTGTTTCCTGCTACTCTGTCAGTTATTTGTTACCAGTAATGTGGCATATTCTTTATTTTTTTTCCTTTTTTGTCCATAAACTTCAGTCAAGTTAGTCTTGCAAGCTGCACTATATCCCTATGGCCTGTCAATGGATTGCTGGCAGCTATTTCACTCCCAACAAGGGAACACGTTGCCAGATTGTATCTTGCATCCTATAACAAACACATTACAGTGAAGGTCAGCAGGGTGGCTTTCCTTTTGCAATTAAGGTACCCTTGAATGCCTTCATAGTATTGTTCCTCTTTTTGCTTTAGTACGTGTAGTAGGTAATGGTAAGCTGTACTAGTAATTAGCAGTGTCTTTGTTTGGATAGCTGTTGTAATCTAAGGCATTAAATGTGCTTTTGATTTTGATGTTACAATAAAATAGTAGCTAGTAGGCCTACAGTGTGTGGAAGGTTCTGTGGACTGGCACATCTGGTACTCTGGTACTGTGCATTTATGTCTGTGCATTCATTTTAATTTGTTTTATTGGTGGGCAGGGGTGCCGCTAGAGATTTTGGGCACCATGAAAGCACATTATGTTGGGTCCCCATCCCAGACAATCCAATTATGTTCCAAATTAATTCAGAGCCTCTCTTACTCAGGGCCCCTTGGAAGGATCTTATTTCTTCCCCCCCCCCCAACACCTTTTTTAATGGCACCCCTGACAGTGGGTCAGTCAGGGAACCTTTGCCAGGGGCTCGTGAATACACCAACATTACTCACATTATGCACTGAGTACTTTTCACAATCTTCAGCTGCTTGCTGAATAACGACAGCCTATTGCAAGCATGTATTCCAGTTTGTAAACTATGCGTTTGCTTTTCTTTCTTCCCTCCCCATTGTCTTAACAACTGTTTATTTTTCCTTCATGAATAAGACTCCCCAAATTCCCAGACTCAGCATGGTTCTGCATTGATGTTCGCTTGGACAGGATTTGGGGCCGTGTCTGATCAGGATTACTGCAGGCCAGCTGTCACGCTCAGAGGCTCTGTGAACACTGCGTTTATTTTCAGTACCTCTGAACAATAATTACAGCCCTTGCCACCTCCCCCTCGCATTAACTTTGAGCCTGTTCTAAGAAAACAATCCTTAGTCATAACAAGGGATTCTTCTGGGAAAACTGAACAATCTCCAAGGTTTAAGCATCATTCAGTTCAGCCCATTTTACATGCAGTGAGAGTAGAAAGTAAAAAAAGAAAGCAGGACATTGTTTCCTTTTTGTACAATATGCTTTGTATGCTGTTCATAAACAAACATTGTTTTGATGTTTAAAAATGTATGTCCTCCAGGTACATCTGTTTTTAAGTAGTTCCTGTTTGCATTTTGCTGCTTGTAGGTTCTAACAGAATGGCGAAAGGCGGCTTTCATGTCTGCTGTCCTGGACATCAGCCCTGATGTTCCTAAGTCATTCTAACCATTCACTGCCTCTTATGTATCCCACTGTGAGCGCTTTCATTTAAAGTATCTGAGCCAGTGAGGTATTCCCCGGATTTATTTTCAGTGGGAGCATGCCCCTCCCAGTTCTGCGGTCAGATGGTGATTCGAATGCTCACGCATCCCAGTGTCCCAGTGTCGTCTGCCTCCTGGTTAAACAGTTCTTCAGTATATTTGTATCAGTATTGTCTATTTAGAGAAAAACACCACAGTGCCATAATCCAGAGGTATTCAAACTGTGAGCCACACTGGGAATTTGGGGGGGGGGGAGCCGGGGGCAGGTCTGTTTTGAAATTGCAACCTTCAGCAATATTAAAATCTAATATTTAATACATGCCTCTATACATCATATGATGCTAACAAATTAAAATGTGTAAAATAGATACCGAGTAGTGAATAGATAAGACTGTTATGACTAATAACGCAATGAAAGTTTACAGTGGGAAAGTTGCTCAGGTATTGCTGACGTACTTAGAGGAACCATGTAAAAATTTCTAGCTGCTAGTAGTGTTAAAAAATATATTGTCAAAGGAACACCTAAAATGAATAGAAATGGAAAATATGACAATTCATATCTAGAATGCAGGTGTGTGTGTGTGTGTGTTTGTGTGTGTCAGGGGGGGGGGGGGGGTGTTGGTGGGTTGGGGATTAGGGCACATATTTCTGCCCTAGGGGGGCTCTGTGAAAAAAGTTTGGATACCACTACTCTATTCAAGTGAAATATCTGACTCCACAGATTTCTTTTAAAATTAACAGGAATCTAAATTTTTTTACAAAACGTAGCAGTATAATTCCTCACTATTTAGTACTTGACCAGTTATCTTTTTGAGACTTTTTTAGAGGGACTGGAACTGTTAGGTTTGAGTATAATTTCCTGTGCAAGCTCCTGTCTTGGGGTTTATGGGGCATTTTTGTGAGTGGTTTTAACACAACGATTTAACACCAATCACAATGATTGCTCTTCTGTCTCTTGTTTGAAACTTGCAGATTCTGGACGAGATCGCAGAGCATGGAATTCGTATCTACCAGCTCCCGGACGCTGACTCAGATGAAGATGAGGAGTTCAAGGAGCAGACACGTGTGTTAAAGGTAAATGCCGTTACCCAAGGGTGCAGTCAGCTGATCAATAGCAGCATCTATAGAAGAATATTTTTTAGAAGGCTCTGCTTCTCTCTTATGTCCATGTCTCATTATGTCATCTTCAAATGTTTTGTATTCGTATTCTATTTATTACTGTTTGTTTGCACTACAACCAATGAGATAAAAATTTGTCAATGTCTGACCCGTACATTATGTAGCTGTTGATGACAATAAAAATACCTTCTTTTGACTTGTTTGTCTGGCTTGTCAGTATTTGTAACGTAATAGTATCCTCCTAGCCGTCTGCCTTCACATTTTAAGATTTATTGGTATTCGGGGAATACAGTGAAATTCTTGTGCCACAGACACAGGGACATAGGAGAGAGGTGTATCGGAGGATAATACAAATATCAGTGCGATACAATGTGCAATATAAGAAAGTAGACATAATAAATTTACATTTACTTATTTAGCGGAAACTTTTATCCTAGGCCTGGGCGATAAAACAATAATGATAATTATCACGATATAATTTCCCTCAATATCAATATGCCAAATGCTCGGTAAAAGTTTGATATGATTTAAGACGTGATATGACGGCGGCAACACGCCTTGCCTCACAAAATGAGGTCACTGTCTATGGACCATTAGTGGAACACAAGCCTAAACACAGCCGTGAAATGGGGGATCTATTGAACACCAAGAGAATACAATAGGGCAGGTTGGCAGACAACAGACAAAACCGTCAAGGGCAGCCCACCGGGAAAGCAAGCAAGACCAAAGCAACCCATTCAATAAGGGTAGTCCAGTGAAATCCAAAAGGAAAATCTACAATAATATCCAGTCTGAGAAATTCCAACAGTAATAAGATTTTTTCAGTGATAACTAAAATAACCTGCTCATCTTCTATCTAGGACTTGTGAAATGTGAAATGCCGTTCGGTACCATCCTTTTGGTTTCCTTTCTGCTTTGAGCCCTTTTTGGAACAGAGCTCCATCTAGTGGGGTCAGAAAATATAGCAAATTGTTCCCAAAATGTCATTTTGGCCATCACTACTGTTTGGCAAGTGTTTGTTATGTTCTGAAGATAAAGAATTTGTTTATAACTACGATTAGCCATCTGGTTTCATCAATTTATAAATAATGACTTTATCACGATAACTATTGACATTGGCCAATATGAAAATGTTAATCATAATAACATTTATAGCCATATTTCCCAGCTCTGATGTAAAGTGATGTGGTATTGAGAAAGTAGTGTCAGAATTAGAGCTGGGCGATATGGCCAAAAATGTTATTGGGATAAAAATGTTCATATCAGTCTATATCGATACTTCATGATAAATGTCAAGTCGTTATTTCTCTCCAGTTTACAGGCTGATTTTTACTACTGAGTTAAAATTGAGGAAACCAGTTGGTTAGTCATAGTTATAAAATATTCTTTATCATTCTCAGAATGTGACGAATGCTTGCCAAATAGTAATGATGGTGACAAGACGCTTCCAGAACAGTTTGCTCTATTTTCTGACCCCTCTAGATTAAGCGCTCTATTTAAAAAAAGGGCTCAAAGCATCCTGAGCCATATGGGCTCAGAAAATATCACAAATACTTCATGAAACGTTTTGGCCATCACTACCAAACAGCACTTTGCATTTCACAAGTCTTTCATAAGAGATAGAACATGAACAGGTTATTTTAGACATCGCTGCCAAAACGCTGCCACTTGCATTCCTATCGTTTCTTAATTCTCTGTGGATTATTACTGTCAGGATTTCTCATTGACTAAATTGAACTGTGAACTGTCCTTTTAGATTTCACTGGATTACCCTTATTGAAGGCATTGCTTTGGACTTACCTGCTCTCCTAATAAGCCCTGTTGTTTTGAGTGGTTTGTTTACAGAATGCAATACAGCAGTATGCAATTTGTTCAATAAATCCCCCGTTTCCACAGCTGTGTTTGCGCTTCTACTCTACTGCCAGTCCTGACAAGCTGTCACAGAGAAAGTGACGTCATTTCATTGTGTTGCAAAACATGTTGCTGGCAACACGTTGAGCTGTAAATCGTATCTAACTTTTATCGAGCATGTGTCGCCTCTATATCGAGATAATAATCATTTTATCATCCAGCCCTAGTCAGAATAATTGATTTAAGGATCCAAAGGAGGAATTACTCTGCCGACCTTCAGATTTGAACCAGTGGCTTTCTGGTTACAAGCACAGAAGCCTAACCTGCAGAGCCATATATTAGAATAAATAAGCACTGATTTAACAAGTGATGTGATCTGGATCATCTTGCTGTTTCCAAGGCCAGTATTCCATTTGCAGTCATCGGATCCAACCAACTTATTGAGGTGAAGGGGAAGAAGATCCGGGGCCGGCTGTATCCCTGGGGGGTAGTGGAGGTGGAGAATCCCGAACACAACGACTTCCTCAAGCTGCGCACCATGCTTGTGTGAGTCGCCAAACTGACCCCCAGGCACACGGCTTCCCCAGGCAGACATGCATGCCCAAGGCGGGGAGATGCCCCAAGACTCTTTGCTTGCTCATTAAATGTAGGTCAGATGAGAATGTTTCACAAAAAAGCTCAATTTTTCATTATTCTAGTTATTTCAAGTCAGGAATTATTCCATTAGTGTACCAATCATTTCTATAATCAGACTTCATAAATAACATTGGAGTGTGCTTTCTACAAGGCTGCTGGTGCTATTTTATTAATACGATGGGTAATTTTGTTTTTGAAAAGTAGGATTGGGCATTTTGGACTGTGTACCTCTCACAACTTCTTGCCCTTTGATTTTGAGGTGATTTTATGCTGCCCTCTGGTGGAACGAAAATAATATGGTTTGATGAGATGGTCTGAAGATAATTGTTTAAATAATTAATTTTTAGCTGTCTTCAGGTCTCCCCAGACAGTCCACATTATTCTTATCTTCTTCTTCTGTTTCCTAAGTAATTACCAGGACCTTGAGTACCTGCTTTGAGATGCAGTGGCAACACTGTATTAAATAACTCCCTGTTTATGTTTAAAATTGTCTCTCTTTTTCTCTGCTTTCTGGTTGAGCATGTAGGACAGTTCTATGTAACTGTGTAGAAGTGCTGTCTTTTGCCTGTGGTCAGAGTTTTAGCTCAGCCTGCATCTGCAGTTGAGACCCAGCACCTGTTTGCTCATTGACCTGCTCCCTGTTTGGCACCAGCACCCACATGCAAGACCTCCAGGAGGTGACCCAAGACCTGCACTATGAGAACTTCCGCTCCGAGAGGTTGAAGAGGGCAGGCAGGTGAGCACTTTCTAACAAACGCCTCCTGTCTTATTATCAGAGTATCCCAGTATGTGTCGGAATAGGCATCTTTATAGCAAAGCCTCTGTTCTTTCCTTTCCATGTTTTGCACAATTCTGTCATTTGCAACTTGCCTTCTTTAAGTTGGAATAAAAGGGGAGGGGGGGGGGGTGGATCCCATAACCTCCGTGATATTTGTCCAGTGAATTGAGCTGGGATCAGTAGTATACTTTCTTTACTGGAGGCCTCTGTTCCAGGGCTGTGGAGGAAGATGTCATGGACAAGGACCAAATCCTCATGCAGAAAGAGGCTGAGGTATGTTTAAACAAAGGGGGTTTGTCCTTGTGTCTTTGTTCATTTAACATTTTGAGATACATAAAATAGTTTTTAGAATAAGTAAAGGGATTTTTTCTGCAGGTTTCCCAACGCTTTTACATTTTGCATAGTGAATTGTTTTAAGAGTGAATAGAATGCATCCATACCAAGCAGACTTGTCTCAGTTAATGCCCACATGTTGATAGCAGAGAATGTGAAGTCACAGCTTATTGACAGAGGTATGACTGCTTCCATTGGTCTGTCTGCTAAGTTTGAAACCTTCTTGTGCATCGACACTGTGTTCTACTAAAGGGGTTTTGCTTTCAAAGTGCACTGCATGATGACAGAGCAACAAATACGTAAAAGAAACATGGAAGCTTATCACATTTTTGCAGCATTTCACAATTCCATTAGCTTGTCATACTGTGAAAAGGAATCTCCTGTAATTTTGCATGTCTGCTATTTGTTTCACAGAGACAGACTCTGGCTGGACCGGGTGGGGTGTGTCATATAATCAGGGGTGTTGTACACATGTCTGCACAGGAAATGAGGCTGCCTTCCCCACTGATTACAAGTTCCCTAGCTTGACCAAGTTAATTGTGAGAATGAGCTATTCCAAGCATGTAATGCTCTTGTTGTTTAGCATGTGCTTAAAACTTCAGTGGTTAATAAACATGGACAGATAGCTGATGCTTCACTGTCCTGTGCGTTGCAGTGTCACTGCAGACCTTTTAACTTGTAGAGATTCTCCGCAAACTTCTTTGACCCCACTGGGTTCAGTAAATATCTGCGTTTGTCTCCCTCAAAGCTCTATGCAGTTTCATTAGCAATTGATATGCCAGGAATTACCACACAACTCCCATTACTCCAGCTGAATAAATGGATTTTATAAATTCAAATTTGTACTTGTATAATGCAGAATGTTTTATGAAGCTGTGTGGGAATGACAGAATGATGGCTTACAGCAGATAGATTTGCTGTATAATAAAACTAATGCTTGTAAGGAATTATAGTATCAGTCAACGGAAGGTTCACTTGGCGTTGACAGTGTTGCGTAAATTATATATGTGCAGTAGCAGGTGGGTTCTGTCCTTACAGTATAAACACACTGTAATTGCTGGCAGAGCACACGCCGTGCATATGACTGTTTATTTGGGAAATTGACGACCTCCATTGCAGTGTGGTGCTATTGAGACCACTCTCACTTTATTGGAATCCTTCCCCCAGCCACAGTTTGTGAACGCGCATTCCTGCTGCAGAGCAGCTTGCAAAATTAAACTGATTAGCGCAGCCCTGCAGTATTAAAGGGTTTGTCCCTGTTAGCTTAGTGGCAATTATACAGTAAATAAACACCATATAATTCGCCAATTATTGTGTTTCAGTGATTTGGCATGGAGTGGTTTGTGTGCCTGTGTGTGCATGTAAGACCAGTTGTATGAAAGTGCCACTGAGGTCCTGGCACTAGTAAAGCACAGGAAACAGATGCCATTTGCAGGAACAGATTTAGCTTTTCTCAAAATCAAATGTTTGCTGAGGAAACAATGGTGCTCCTGTTTGTGCCTTTGTAATCTGGAGCATATGGTTAGTTCTTTCAGGTCTTTGAACTCCAAAGGGAGCATGTAACTGCATTGTGAGAACAATTCAGCCATATCAGTAGGGATGGTAAGATTCACTGATTCGCATCGGTGGTGCAACAAAGTTCACAATGAGATTGCCCAGATTTAAAAAAAAAATAAATAAATAAAATAAAAATTGTGTGTCAGATACAATTTAGAGTGAACTCGGGATGCATCACTTCGACCATCTTTGCGTTGGTAAAATCAAACTTTTTACCAATCAATCATAAATCAAACTTTCACTTTTTAATACTTGGTTGCAAGCCTGAAGTCTGGAATGCATAGACATCACCAGACACTGGGTTACATCCCCGGTGATGCTCTGCCAGGCCTCTACTGCAACTGTCTTCAGTTTCTGCTTGTTCTTGGGGCATTTTCCCTTCGGTTTTGTCTTCAGCAAGTGAATGCTCAATCGGATTCAGGTCAGGTGATTCACTTAGCCATTGCATAACATTCCACTTATTTGCCTTAAAAAACTCTTTGGTTGCTTTCGCAGTATGCTTCTGGTCACTGTCCATCTGCACTGTGAAGCGCCATCCAATGAGTTCTGAAGCATTTGGCTGAATATGAGCAGATAAGATTGCCCGAAACACTTCAGAATTCATCCTGCTGCTTTTATCAGCAGTCACATCATCAGTAAATACAAGGGAACCAGTTCCATTGGCAGCCATACATGCCCATGCCATGACACTACCACCACCATGCTTCACTGATCAGGTGGTATGTTTTGGATCATGAGCAGTTCCTTTCCTTCTCCATACTCTTCTCTTCCCATCACTCTGGTACAAGTTTATATTTGTCTCATCTGTCCATAGCATGTTGTTACAGAACTGTAAAGGCTTTTTTAGATGTTATTTGGCAAACTCTAATCTGGCCTTCCTGTTTTTGAGGCTCACCAATGGTTTACATCTTGTGGTGAACCCTCTGTATTCACTCTGGTGAAATCTTCTCTTGATTGTTGACTTTGACACACATACACCTACCTCCTGGAGAGTGGTCTTGTTCTGGCCAACTGTTCTGAAGGGGTATTTCTTCACCAGGGAAAGAATTCTTCGGTCATCCACCACAGTTGTTTTCCGTGGTCTTCCGGGTCTTTTGGTGTTGCTGAGCTCACCGGTGCGGTCTTTCTTTTTAAGAATGGTCCAAACTGTTGATTTGGCCACACCTAATGTTTTTGCTATCTCTCTGATGGGTTTGTTTTTATTTTTCAGCCTAATGATGGCTTGCTTCACTGATAGTGACAGCTCTTTGGATCTCATATTGAAAGTTGACAGCAACAGATTCAAAATGCAAATAGCACACTTGAAATGAACTCTAGACTTTTTATCTGCTCCTTGTAAATAATATAATGAGGGAATAACACACACCTGGCCATGGAACAGCTGAGCAGCCAATTGTCTCATTACTTTTGGTCCCTTAAAATGTGGGAGCCACGTATACGAACTGTTGTAATTCCTATACCGTTCACCTGATTTGTATGTAAATACCCTCAAATTAAAGCTGAAAGTCTGCAGTTAAAGCACATCTTGTTAGTTTAATTTCAAATCCATTGTGGTGGTGTATAGAGCCAAAAAGATTAGAATTGTGTCGATGTCCCAATATTTATGGACCTGACTGTATTTAATATATAATTATTTATAGATGCCCTATGCCTTTATTATTTAGAAATGTGACTGATAATTTTTGTCCAATAATTTTATATTTAGATTGATTCCCCCTCCCTGAAGTGTTTCTGTATCTGTTCCATAATGAATCGCATAGCATCATATTCTTTTGCATCACATTGTATCTCGTTGAATCAAATTGTGTCAAATCACACTGCATTGTAATAAGGGTGAATTGTATCATATTGCATTAGACAGGCCCCAGAGAAAAGGCTGGATTGCCCTCTCCTGGTTTGGGGTTGAGTTGCTGGAGTTGAAGTATCTTGGGGTCTTGTTCACGAGTGATGGAAAGAGGGAGCGGGAGATCGAGAGTTGGATCAGTTCAGTATAGTAGAGCCACTGCTCCTCAACATGGAAAGTAGCCAATTGAGGTGGTTCAGGCATCTATCTAGGATGCCTCCTAGATGGCTCCCTGGTGAGGTGTTTCTGGCATGTCCAGCCAGGGGGAAGGCCCCGGGGCAGACCCAGGACATGCTGAAGAGATGATATTTCTCAGCTGGCCTGGGAATGCCTTGGTATTCCCCCTGGTGGAGCTGAAGGAGGTGGCTGGTGAGAGGGAGGTATGGGCATCCCTGCTTAAACTGCTGCCCCCACAACTCAACCCTGGATAAACAGAAGAAGATGGATGGATGGATTAGCAGTTGTTTTATAAGTATCTTTAATGTACTGGATTATTGGCAATGCATCGAGATGTGTATCACATTGGCTCCATCATATCCCTAATATGCAGTTAGAGTTGACACTGTGTGGGGAAATCTAACCACTAGATGGAGACATTTTATAAAGGTGCCACTGACAGTCAGATAATTGCTGTCGCTGCAATTCATTAAGCGTGTCAATAACATTTTATAGAGCTGACAAATGAAAACATATCTTCTGGCAAGTAGCTGTACAATATGTAGTTCAAATTTCATGTAGTTTTAATCTATGCAGATACTACATGTCCAGTAAGTAATCAGGGAAAGAATTAGCTAGTCTAGTCATTTTACTTTTTTCTTGCAATATCAGTTATGACTTAAGTCACACATTCCTTAATGAAAAATGTATGTATGTTAAGTGTTTTGAGAAGGAATTTTAGTTCTGCATAACATCTGCATTGTGACTTTAACAATGTGTTTAACAAAGTGACTGGTGCACTCAGAGGGTATATGGAGATTGAATGTGTGATCAGATGTGGCTTGTCTCTCTGTAGCTGCGCCGAATGCAGGAGATGATTGCAATGATGCAGGCGCAGATGCGAATGAAGCCAGGAGATGAGTGAGAGGTGAACAGGTACTGACACATACATGTGCACACACACACACACACACACACAGGTGGACATTCTAGAAATTTTTCACAAAAATTTTTGTGTAACTTTTTGAGTTTTTATTTTTTCATTGTATATATTGATTTGGTGTAACTTCTTGCATAGCACTACATGTATGAAATCCTGCCCTAGTTATCCAGCACTTGCTGATCTACAGGTATATATACTGTTAATCTGTTGGTTATTGAACCTGAACACAAGAATAAAAATGTTTTCTGAGAGTGCCCATGCCAAAAATGTCCATATATAATGTAATTGTCTTTAGTTGAGCATTTTGCATGTCATCACAGGAAATCTTCTCACATTTCTCATTAGCTATTTCATGTAATAATAATAATAATAATTGATACTTTTATTAATCCCCGTGGGGAAATTGTCTTTACACCTCCCTCAACTTTCTGCAAAGGGCAGCCACCTGTAGCGGTGCCCTGGGAGCTGGGGATTAAGGGCCTTGCTCAAGGACCCGCAGATGTGCTGAGGCTGGGTTTGAACCGGTGACCTTCTGATTACAGGCACACAGGCTTAGCCCACAGAGCCACATGCTGCCCCCAAAATAAAAAAACCTGCACTCCTGCATGAAAAGTACAACTTCCTGTAAGCTGGAGAAGGAAAAAGGAAAAAGCCTCCTGTTTTGGGGTTTTATATTTTAACCAATACGAGTTTAGACTATTAGAATTCAGTCATGATGTCATCACATATGATCTTAACATAATATTTAATAATGACAGATTATTCCTCTCCTCCTTCCAGCACCCCAACCCCCAACTTCAGGCCCTCCGAGCACAGACCACTACCTGGACGATTCCCTGTGTGTGTGCCCTCCCCCCACTGGAGCAGCCCCTCCCCCCACTGGAGCAGCCCCTCCCCCCACTGGAGCAGCCCCTCCCCATGTTCATGACTTTGTGGTAACCCCACTATAGTTCTGGAAGAGCCCCAGCAAACCAGCTGTCATATCATCAGTGTTAGGCCTCATTGGAGGGGTACATTTTGAATACTCAGACATTAAATGCATTTCATTAGGAAATGTTAAAGTTTAGAACAACAGAATTTAAGTGTCCTGTCTTGGTAGTGAAAATAAACGTGTTTCCTCTTAATGTCACATAATCTGTAAATTTGAGGGTACTGAAGTTGTACAAACATATCTAATCTAGTACAGACATTCTACCTTAGCCAATGATTTTTGATTTTATTTTATTTTTTCATGGTACCAAAATAAATACCTCATACCCTAAACTCATGTAGTTCTGTGATGGGGTATGTAATTAATCCGAAACATCTGAAGTTCTCACAAGATTGCTGCAGGTTCAAGAATGTTTTATATTTTCTGGAAATAATGTTTGTGGATATAAATCACAGGGAATGAACAATCCAATAAGGTTCACTACTTCCAGATCCTTGAGACTGGTTTGCCCCCTCATGCAGTTTTTCCCATTATTTTCTCCATCTGCCTTTAAGTGCCCTTGCTGAGGTTCATTATAAACACCTCCCAAATACTGAAAGCAGAAGGAACTTGATAGATAAAGTTAACCATTGAACTACCCACATTTATGAGTATGATTCCATTGGTAAATGAACTTGATTGTGCTGTTTGACCAAGATATTTATAAATGTACAAAGCCACAGTCTTACCAATGTTCTGAAGCTCAGAAGTGGTCAAACTGCAATGTTTTACATCTAGAAAAGTTTTGGCCATTATAACACTGTCAAATTATCAGTCATGCTTGTATTTAACACCCAGCTGGTACTTTTGTACAGAGCTTACAATACAAATGGTATGATCATGACTTTGACCTGAACCAAGTTTATAGGATTTCAGTATTTATCACTGGGAGGAAAGGGACTGCATTCTTTCAGATTTTTATAAAACTATGTGCCATGTAAACACTCTTATTTTGGTAACTTAGTGCTAACTGATGATTTTTCTTTGCATTTTTGACAATGATGACTTCAATGCTTTTTCCTATTGGCTATTATTCATTTTAGACCCCACCACCATGTTCAAATAGCATCTAATGACTTTTATTCTCCTAGAGATAGAACACTAATTAATATTTATGCATAATGTTCCTTTACAATGTGGCATGATGTTCACGTGTCTGCAAGTGTGAATTTAAAGGAATACTATATTGCAAAGTGTCACATGTCTTCTATGAAAGGGTTCATTAGGCAACTGCCTGTCTTTGCTCATCCACTTCTCAATATACTGAAATCTGCATATTGAGAGTGATATTTTAAAAGTAGTTATTATGGTCTTTAAAATGTCTGTCCACAATTTACTGGAATTCTGTTTGGGATACTTTTTTTGGATAATTTGCATAATCACAAAGCCACTAACCTTAGGGTGCATTATGTGCTCTTTCAATGACAAACTTCTCATAGTTGACAATTGGAATACAGTGAGAGGTGAATTAACTGTTTTGACCATTTTGTGTTGGAGAACTTCATAAATATTTATTCAACTCTCACCTACAAACAACACAGAATACACTGGTTGCTTTTCAGCTATTACATTTATTTTGTTTTGCTCTATCTATTGTCAATATTTATGAAATCATTACAGAGCAAGCCCAGTTTAGCTCGGACAATGACATTCACAAAGTTCAGCCCATAACCAAGATGGTGATTGACAGTGCTCCTCTCCCTAAGTTTTACCAGGGGCATTAATGTTTCAGAGACCTGTGAGAAAACCCGGAAGAGGTTCACTGTTAGTTTGTCCTCTCAGTTTATTTCACTAGTTTTTTTTTTTTTTTTAATTGCTGCCAAACCATGTGGGGTAAACTATAAAACTGTACTGCATTTTTCACTGTTTTTGTACCTTAACATAATGGTTTACTCAACTATTTGAAAAATAAAGTTTTTCAAAAGAAAGTCTGTTTGAACCCTATTTTGTTGATATTTTGCATACAGTGCATGGACACAAGGTCAGTTTTGCAATGTGGATAGTAATAATCTAAACAATGGCTCTTTCCCCTGTCGTCATACATTGTACGTCACCCAGAAAATATTCTGGCTGAAACAAAAGTGATGGTGGTAACAACTTCACAATGTAGAAGTTCTGGTTTTCAGTCCACCAAATAGACACTTCTCTGCATAAGCAAATCTGGGTTGTGACCATTGAAAGGTATCACTTTGTGTCTGGAGGAAACATACGATTCCATTTGGCTGTTCCTAGGAATCAGAACATTAAACGCTGTAACAGAGTTTTAGTAAAATTATACTCCAAAATGCATACAATAAACTATTCACCACATTAACTTATGGGACTTTGTTTCTTAATTTAATTATATATTGTTTTCTTCCCATAAAACTGAAAGTTTGAAAACTCTTACATCATATGTATTTCCAGCCTAAGCCAGCTCTCTGGTGTGTGTATGTGTGTTTGTTTGTTTGGGGGGGGGGGGCATTTAGTTTATTTTTCAACTGATGAAAAATATGTTGATTAGAAAAAATGATAGAAACATGAAAAGTTGAATTGGGAATCATACTGACTAACAAGATGAATCTAAAAATGAATATAAGAAGATAAAGGGCATACCAATTAGCAGGGATGTAGGAACCATGGGGTATGTTTTATTATTTTAAATACAAATTAAATTAATTCTGTCATATAGTAGTAGTGTGATGTTATATTAAAAATATTTCACAGGCTTTGGTCATGCCGCAATAAGGATTCTGATTCAGATTCTGAGAAATTATACCTTTTTAATAGACATTAGTTATTTATGCTTGAATATTTTGCATGTTTGTATACTTATTTTGTATTTTGTCTTACCAAAAAGTGCTACAAAGTATTCTATAAAGGTATGAGAACACATATTTCAGTTACACTTATTATGCTTAACGGAAGCTTACTTGATCATTATACTACAAAACAATTTTGTATGGACCTGCTCAAAATACGATAAAAGTATGGCAAAACATTAACGGACTGTTGGTCAATTTTCTTACATACGTTTTAAACCTTACCAGGATAGGGAGATGGATGTACAGTACTGTATGTATATATCTATGGATGGATGAATGGATGACAGTTTAGGTTGCCGTCCATTATATACAGAAAGGAAAAAATACCATTTGTTGAAATAAACTGCTTATCAGAAATTGATTACAACGCAGAGATGTCTTACAGCAGCACCGTTGCACTGCGTTACCAATTCTGCACGTTTAATATGATCAGGGAAAGCGGCATTAATAATTTTGAAATATACAGTAACAGTGACAGAAGTGTTTGCCATAATTCAGGGGCTTTAAATAAATAATGTCCTTTGGTGTGTGATTGGTGATATAGGGCGACAGGCGGAGCCTTTTATGCTTTTATGTCTTCCTCGAATGGTAAGAGCAGGCGAAGCAGAAGAGGCTGCTGCTGCTACGAGGTTGTTGGTACCGAGAGAGGACATTGACGATGACTACCAACATAAGATACAAGAGCCGGGTGATAAAATCGGGTAAGTCCGACAAGGACGGCGTTTCTGCGGAAATATGGATTTTTAAGCTGCATTTGAAGCTGAGATCGCGAATCACTGTCACGTTTTACTGTCTCCCCTCTCTTTCACGCTGAATGAAATGCCTGGGCGTCGATTTGCATCCTCTCACCTGTTTCTATTTTCGGATCTTCATCGTTTTTAATGAAAAAATCTTAAACAGAAGATTCCGAGGTAAGAAAACGGGCTAGACCCTCTTTTAGTTTAATTGTGCTCATCCGTTTATTTCGGTAGCAGTGTGATAAAAAAAAAAGTACGCATCTTATTTGGTGGTAATATTTTCAAACATTATAAGAAAACAAACCATGCCATTTTGGCCTATTCCCAAATCAAAACGGAGATGCTAATGTTACGAGCTGAATAAACATTTTCAGTATTTTCAGGTTACTAATCGCTTATTTGAAACATCATTTCCATACATCTTTTGTTACGAGATGATAATGTTATATAATTTAATCATGTAATAAGCACTACCCTCCGCCTGCGGTATCGGTCTCTTTTTCCCAGCACAGCATTTACTGGATGGGTTTGGGGTGTCCATTTAGGAATATGAACCGTTTTTGTTTTTTCCTTGCTTGTGCTACGACGTTTAGGAGTGTTTCTGCGTGTAATGATTAATAGAAAAAGAAGTGTGTCTATATACCATTTTCATCCATTATTGTGTAGCGCAAGATACGATCTTCTGTTGAATATCTCAGCAGGTTATACTGTGAAGTACAGATGTACTCGGATATAACAAATCCGAGTAGCGGTAGGGGTACCTAAGGGGAACCATGTGAACAGGTGATGCCGGGTCAGTTGAGTGCAGCTTCCCTTGTGCTGCTCTGATCTTTTCCCGGGATCCCGTGGAGACGTGATCGGGGGTTTCTATGAAAACGCAAAAGTCATAAAAGCCGGGTTGTACCAAGTAGGGCAGAAAAAAAGTATTTATAGTGGCTTTGTGGTTTAACACAAATCTGTTTAAATCCAACTGATCTTTATTGCATAAGAAAGTTGATACTTTGCATAATACATTTTCAGAAATATAAGATGATCTAGGTCATTCTGGGATTTGTCAGATTTCATCAATTATTGAATGTGCTAAGATCATATTTTGGTTGGTGTAGCATATTTTGTAGGCACCTTCCTATTGTAGTGACAGTAATTTAACAAATTGAAGAGAATATAGAGAAGTATCCCAAAATGCCAATATTAGGACTGCTTAATTATATATACTGATTACTTTAGAAAAGTGGTGGTGAGGTAGTATTTCTGGGAAAAATTGAATGAACAAACACAAATGCATTTGTGGCTAGTATTTAAAATGGTCTTAATGGTGTACTAATGTCTTAAATGTTTAAGACAGCAGTTGGAGTGATCAGAATCCCTGAGAGTGACCAGTGAAAGTGACTAAGAATTGGTTGACGCAAACATCCAGATCAGTACTTTGGTCCTGCAAGCATGTATATCCAGCTGAAGATCAGCCCGGACCCAGATGGTACTGAATAGAGGCAGACACATGTTTGTTTGCCCCTTCAGGCCCCACTGCTGTTTGCCTACCACACAGCGATGTGCAGTGACATTGCAACAGACTCAGTCAGATTTTAATTAGCATGACACCTCTTTTTACGCTGAAGTTTCACAAAACACATTACAGCAGTTTATGATAACCAGAAGAAATTAAAAGATTATCTCCAGTAGGGGAAAGATGCACACAGGAATACAGAAAACACAGGTAAATGCTGCATACATAAATGGATAACACGACAATTG